CGGACAACTTTCTCATTTAAGAAGCTGGAATCAGAGAACTGAGACGACTGAGTTTTGCTTGTTGATGTTCTACAACCTTCTGAACACGTTGATGCACCAGAAGATCTAAAGCGCTGTTCCGGCTGAACAACCTTCTGGGTCTCAGGTTCCTGCAGCTTCGTCTCCTTCGTTCATTATAGGATTCAGTTCTATTGATCACTTTTAAATCACTCCAGCTCTGCACCTGAACGCCTCAGAACGGACCATCGACCGTCATTAGAAGATCCAGGATTCAAACTGAAAGGAGCCTCAGACATTAAAAACCACCAACGGCTGAAGATCATCTCTTTAAAATGCAAAGTTCGTTGTTACAGATTGGTTTTCATGTTGTCGGCGTGTATAGAAATAAAGTTTTACTGCTATTTTAGTTTCTTTTTCACATCAACATTCAAAAAAATTACGTTTAGGTTCAACAGAAAGTATAAATGCGACTCGTTCACGCTGTTTAAGCTGCAGTCATGCGTTTAGTCGCCACGTTTCTGAGCTAAACGGTTTAACAGGAAGAATAATACGACAATCTGCCTTCGAATTTCATTAACATGCAGAAAACAAACAAAAAGTCCTTCACATAGCGTCAGTGATGCAGGTTTAATATGAACCTGCAAATGATTCAATATCACAATAAAATCACACAATTAAAGTCGTTAGTAATAAATATAGCAAAGAGGAAAAGTTTTAAACGTCACTGGACACAAAGCAAGAGCTAATTTATTACAGACAAACATTAATTACCGGCTCATTTCTAGCTCTCTAGCTAATATGAAGCTCTCTAGCTAGTATCTAATACCTCCTGACAAAATGACCCAAATTAAAAACCTGCAGGTTTTTGAATCATGAATAAAATGTTAAAAGGTAGAAAAAAATGTGAAAGTGTCAAAAAAAAACCCTTCAAGGTTCAAGGACGATAAAATTAAGACATTTCCCTCCAGAATAAAATATTTTAAGTATATTTCATTAATTCTTAATTACTTTCCTCAGCTGCCTGAAATATAAAATCCTGAACTCAGTTAAGCCGATTTTATTAAGTTACATCAACTTGAGTTTAGTTTCAAGTCAACTGACAGAAATTTGAGTTTAAATTAAATATTAAGTTGATGCAACG